ATAATAATAATAATAATAATAATAATAATAATAATAATAACAATAATGATAATAAGCAATGTCACTACTGCTCGCCAAATTGAATTTTGCGCTTATAGGAACTAAATTATAGTTTACGAAAACTTTGACAAAATTAGGAAACTCATTTTAAAATACATGTTGATCTATGTATTTTCCTTTTACCTTTAGGTCTACGTAAACAGTCCAATAATTAAATTATATTTTTGAAAAAAGAAATCAAATAATTAAAGACAATAATCCTGAAAGCTATTTACCTAGGATTGTGTGAATAGGAAACAAGTTGGGGTCTGTTGAATTCTGTATTTTTTTAACACGCTATAACAGAACTAAAGAGACTCTTTCTCTCGTCTCAGCCCCCCCCCCCCTTCCCTTTCCCTTTCCCCTCCCTTACGAAAACATTACCAAACAACTACAACAAACAAACAAACAAGCAAACAAACAAGCAATCAAACGACCGAACAAACAAACAACAAAACAACCTACGTGCTTACCCCTTGCCAAACAAGCCCTAAGTTTGCCCTAGAAAAACGAAACAGACAAAAAGTAGATAAATGAAAATGGAAAAAGTAAAGAAAACACCCAGAGTACCCAAATGAACCCGGCAAAGTATGAATTGACGTCAGCTATTTTCTGGAGTGTCTCCATTATCAATTGTTGTGCTATGGCACGTTGCCAACACGTTAGGGGTGCGCAAATTATTGTTCGAATGGGATTTCCCGGAATCATGTGTGATTTAGTTGATCTGGCATGGCCTGAATAATTCTTTATAAGGGTCCTAGCAACCTTGCGTAGACATCCAATTAAGACTGATCTATCAAACTCAAAGGTCACGTAAAGTTTAATTATTATTTATCTAGCTAGAAACAGCATCATTAGTACAAACCTCCAATGCCCAAGAAAGCCACAAGACAAAACACAAGCATTTTTGTTCTTCACACGAAATTCTCCTATTAATGTTCTTCCACCAACATCGCCAGTAGTGCCCCTCTCAAAACAAAGAAAAACCAACCAAGGCTAAAATGGACTGCTTTGCAGAGGGAAATGCTTCAAAAGCGATCCAAAGTCAATAAAGACGGATTTTATTTCGAGGCATCCTCAGTTCACTTGTCACCATTTACGATTTTCTCGGACCGTGTTTCTACCTGGGCCGCCCCATTCCGCGTCTCGTTTATTTCTTTTTAGTGGGCGTGGGTTGCCGTCATTTTCATAATGGATAGAAGAGAGAAGGAAGACAGGCATGATGGAGGAAGATCGTGCAATGTCCGGGTGTGTTTGACTTGAAATAGATGCTCGCTAACGCCTACTTGTTTGTCCAAAAACTTGCAGGTCCATCTCTTCACTCATCCCCCCAGCCTACTTCATGAAGGATTCTAACAAACCTTTCGCCTCTCATTCTTTTTTAACGTCAATCCTTTCAGATGTTCCAATTGGAGTTATGGTCTCTGACTCTTTCCCTCAGTTTAAGATGTCGACGATTCATCTTGTACTTGTATGCCAAGTGTCTCCTATGTAAATGTTTTCCGAAAATTTAAACCTACATAAGTGAGCTGTTCATAACATTTCGATACTGTAAAATTCTTTCTTTTTTTCTTTCTTTCCTTTCTTTTTTTCTTTCTTTCCTTTCTTTTTTTCCTTTCTTTCTTTCTTCCTCTTTCTCTTGCTCTCTCATTCTCTCTCTCTGTCTCTCTCTGTCTCTCTCTCTGTCTCTCTCTCTTTCTTTCTCTCTCTCTCTCTTTCTCTCTCTCTTCCTCTCCCCCCCTCTCTCTCTCTCTCTCTAT